TAAATTAAATTAAATAAAAAACAGTTCAGGAGGTAAAAAGTATTAAAGATGATTTAGAAGGTAAAAGAAAAGCATCTGTCAGTCATATCAGTATTTTTATAAGATCAAATGCAGAAACAAAGTCTAATGTGCGGTTTGCTCACCAATAAAAGACCCCTAGATGAAACTCGATCTAATAATAATAATGATAATAGTAATAATAATAATAATAATAGTAATAATAATAATAATAATAATGATAATAATAATAATAATAACAGTATACACCATATACTAAACTTTTTGACTGTCTTTAGTTTTTCCTCCTTGTCCACATGTCCGCGGTCTTCTTCAGGTCTCTGAGGGTTCACAGAGTCCCTCAGTCTGAGACGGACCCTCTTTAGTTTAGTCCGCTCTTTCTTCTCTTCTACAGAAACTCTGAAACTGAATTATGTAAATTCACCTGATGTTAAATTCTCAGAGTATTTTCTGACGTTTCTGGAGCTTCCTCGCCCTCCCTCCCACGCTGCCTCCCCCCTCCTCCCCCTGTTTCTCACCCAGATGAGGAGCTGGAGAGGAGGACAGCGGTGGCGGTACGACACGTTCCCTCTCTGAGCAATAAATCTCTCAGCTGTGTAACACGATCCCGGCGGTGTGATACCTGTGCGGACTCAAACACAGACCTGTTGTCTGAGACGAAGATGAAAACAGGAATAATTGGAGCCGGACGAACTGCTGTCAGTGTTTGTGTCGGAGGCTGACGCAGCGCTGAATCACTCAGGAATAAAAGAGAGAAAACACACACAGGGTTTATCTGCTTCACACTTTACAGCGAAGAATCCACCGAGCGGAGAAAAGCCTGAAGTCATTCAGAGAGAGAGAGAGAGAGAGAGAGAGAGAGAGAGAGAGGCGGAGAACTGCAGCAGGTGGAGGAGAAACCACTTCTATAAAGAACTTTAGATTATTGAAAAAGTAGAGCTGTGTATTTATAGACTTTACCTAAAGTTAGAGAAGTTTAATCAGATCCATCTTACTTAGTGTCAGCAGTTAGAGAGGAACATCAACAGAAGATTTCTTTAACTTCTGTCGTTTTAACCTGCAGCATCAGAGCTGCTCAGTGTCTGATTCTGGTTTCTGATGTTTCAGAGCCCAAACCTCCAGTTTATAGAAGTCTAACTTTGTCCCTTAAAAAGACAGAACAATAAGAAAACATGAACTTTTATTGGTCAGGACTCAAACCTTTATATAAAAACTTAAAAAAAAAAAAAAAAAAACAATTAAAATTCAGGATTAAAACTCAGACTTTTACGATCAAAGTCAGAACTCTAAATTCTAAAGTTTAAATCAACATTCTTGTCAGAAACTCTAAGATCAATGAAAGACTTTAGATATTTTGGAATCTTGGAATCTTGTCCCTTTAACGTCTTTTGTATCATATTTGATTCAGACTTTTATGAACTTCTATAAAATCAGTATGATCAACAAATTACTAAAAAACACCTGAATACAGTCGATAAATGATAAAAATATTCTCTTGTAGTTTATCAGTTTCCAAAAACATCTAATTTATCAAACCAGATAAAAAATATATATTTGTTAAATTTTAAGAACATTTTGATTTCTTTGGTTTTCAGTCGTAAATAAAATAAAAATTTCAGCAAAAAAAAAAAAAATTAATTTTCTGGTCATAATTTGTGTTTTCAGGCATTAAAGGGTTAAAGTTCAAATTCTTCAATCAAAATTTATCACTGTGAACAGAAACAGAATTCAGGAATTAGAATCTGAAACTCTGGAGGAAAAGTCGGAATTCTAGAATCCGAGTCCGAGTTACTAAATAAGGAAAGAAATCTGGAATCAGTGTCTGATTTCAGAATTTCTGTTTCTGTTAATGTTCTGAAACTGAAGACGACCATTTTTGGATCAAAGTCAGAATTTTGAAATCAACATAATTATCTTTTTAAAGATAAAAGTCACAGTTCTGGAATTAAAGTCTGTGATCTTAAATTAAGGAAATCTAGACTGAGAGTCAGGATTCCAAAAGTTACCGTCAGAATTTTCCAGTTTAGGTCAGAATTCCAGAAAACAAGATAAAGAAAAACAGGATTCTGGAATCAGACGCTCAGAGTCTCGTGTCAAAAAGCAGAAATATTTAATAAAAGTCAGTTTTTATAAATCTAAGTGAGAATTTCTACAAAATTTTTAATATCAAGAAATTTTAGAGATTAAGTATGAGAAATCTGAGACACCAGATTTAAGTCAAAAATCCAGGACTACTGAGACTTTAGTCTGGACCTTATTTATTTATTTATTCATTTGTTTGTTTGTTTATTTATTTATCTGTGTGTTTATCCTTTATTATTATTTACATGTAGACTCATTAGCTGATAAAAACACGAGTCAAACTTCAGTTTTCTGTCTTTCACTTGGTTAAAACTGTGTGACTTAAAGAAACTTCCGCCTGGTTCTGATTCTTCTTTTTACCCAAAGATGTTTTTTAAAGGATCTCTTTGAAGTTTCCTCTGTTGGACACGGACAGGTGTCTCACAAACTCAGGTTAAAGACTCCTCTGTACCCTCAGGTCTGACAGTTTTCAGTCGACCCACTTTGATCCAGTTCTTTTTCAGGAGTTTAGTTCACGTGTAAACACGGAGAGACTTGTTTGTTGTCGACCCGCTCCGACTCGTGGTCCAGAACAAGCTGCTCTCCGTCACGAACACGACATCAATAATTCAGATTTCTCATGTTTACACGCCGGGGGCCTCGCCGTGAACTCTCTCTGCTCCGACGCCGCGAGAACACGAAGTTTATCCTGTGTGACGAAATCAGTGTGAGCGGCCAGGAGTGTGTGTGTGTGTGTGCGTGTGTGTGTGTGTGTGTGTTATCAAGTGTGTGTGGTGTTTCCAGCCTGCAGTCATCCAACAGAGCTGCTACAAACTAATCTTGATATGTTGAACAAGCAAACCGGAGCAGCCGCCCCCCCTCACCCTCACCCCCCTTACCCCCCCCCCCCCCCCCGCTCTGATAAATAATAAACGACCTTTGAGTGGCTCCAATTGATGAGCCGGCGAGCGCGGGGCCCGATAATGGACTAATTAGTTGTATCTCACATTAACTGATATCGGACACTCGGCTCCTCAATGAGAACTTTCATGTCTGGGATCTGCCCCGGGGGCCCCGGTTTGGGACACCCAAAATGGAGGGGGGGGTAAAAGGGGTAATTTTCTGTTCCGGTGAGACCAGAGGGGGGAGGCGGGGGAGGAGGGGGGAGTATTTGGGAAACAACTACTAACAGGTATTTCTGTGTATCAAAGCTTCTACAATCCCCGACGGAAACAAAACCAGAGGAGGAGAAAAAACACAAACTGACAAAGTGGATCTGTGTGTGTGTGTGTGTGTGTGTGTGTGTGTGTGTGTGTGTGTGTGTGTGTGTGTGTGTGTGTGTGTGTGTGTGTGAGGAGGAACACGGCGGGGCGGTGAAAACAGGTGAGGCTTTGTTTGGCTGAGTTTTCTGAGGTAGATCCATATCAGGAATCCTCTCCCGCTCTGCCTTGCGCTCTCTCCGAGGCGGATCGGTTTACGGCGTGGAGACTTACTGTCGCCTCTCCGTCGGCTGACAGACAGGCAGGAAGGAAGGAAGGAAGGAAGGAAGAAGGAGAAGAAGAAGAAGAAGGAGAAGAAGAGGATATTAGTCATAAAACACAACAACATGAGTCTTGAATAAAAGAGACTCCAGATCAGATCAGATGAAGTTTTATGATCCCTGAGGGGAAACCGGGACGCCGCAGATCCAGCAGAGAACTGGATCCTGATAAAACCTGAGAGCGAGCGAGCGGGCGGGCGAGCGGGCGAGCGAGCACGGAGATAAACCTCCATGTGGAAACAATCATCAACAAAAGAACAAGAGCGACAAAAGAGCGAATCAAAGTATTTACAGGATCTCCAGATAAAGTGACCCTGAGATCAAACCTGAGGCGGGAGTCCAGGCGCCGTTTTCTCTACCTCCATTTATCATGAGTGAACAAGATCAGTATCCTGCGAGCGCCAGTCACAACACCAAACAAGACGTGTATTTATTTTCCCTAAAGGGATATTAATTTATCTGGACGCTCCTGAAAACTTCAACAGAGTAAATCCAGTCAGCTGAGAGGAAGGACGTCTGCTGCTGCCGTTATTATTAGACCCTCAGGATGATGAGTCTGTATCCTAGCAACAGCATCATGGAGATCACATGTAAACAAGATAAGAACGTTGGAGGATTAATGGAGCGTTCGAGGTTCATCAGAAGTCAGAGGTCGGAGCTGAAAATGACGTCACACCCGAGTCGGAAAAAAGCAAAAACAAGATGGCGACATCTACGAACATTACTTTAGCGCTCGCCTTGCTGTCCTTCTGCGACATGCGGTCCCCCATGCCGAACAAATCTTCACTCTCCGAAACGTCATAGAACAGTGCCTAGATCACCCCTCATGATTAATTACATCGATTTCAAGAAAACTATCGACAGCGTCCTCCAAGAATCACTGTGGTATCATCCAACTATACGGTAAACCGCCAAGTACGTCAACATCTTCAGGGCTCTACATCACAACTCCACTTACCGAGTAAAAACCACCAACGACACAACCGCTGACTTTGACATGGTGACCATAAGACAGGGTTTCATCCAAACCACGGCGTCAAGAGGGGAGGGGGGAGACTGGCAGATCTAGACTTTGCAGACGATTTGGCGCTCATTAGCCACGCCCACGCTGCTCTCCAAGCATTGACAAACAACCTGCATGAGCAAAAGTCGGTCTACGTATGAGCCAATGAAAGACCAAGGCCACGACTGTCACACGACACCAACACCTTCAACCACTCACCATCGGTGAACAGGACATAGGAGAACGTCGAGAACTTCACAAACCTCAGAAGCAACATCTCAAATACTGGAGACATGGAGAAAGACGTACAGACCAGAACTGGCAAAGAACATCTGGTCGTTGAAATCCATCCCCACGGCAACAAAGCCACGCCTCTATATGTCAGTGGTCATCCCTACAGCGACCTACGCCTGTGAGACGTGGACGAAGACAGCCAGCATCACCAACAAGTTGGATGTCCTCCATCGACGGTGCCTCAGATCCATCCTGAAGATCTCATGGAGAGACAACATCACCGATGAAGAGGTGATGAGGAGGACAGGTGAAGCACCTTCGTCTGACATCGTCTCTGACAGGAGGAAGAGAAAGACCGAACATGGACTCTGACCGCCAAGAGAGAGAGAGACAGGCAGGTGTGGCGATAGAGGGAGGACAAAGAAGACAAGGAGACAAACAGCCGAGGAAGACCTGAGGAGACGGGAGTCAGCTGGCGTGGAGCAAGAAGGGACGCTAAGGACCGGAGCGAACGGAGGGGACTCGTCGCCTGATGGTCCAATAGGAACAGGAGGAACTAAGTCTGAGTCAGTAAGTCTGCGACATGAAAACACGGTTAGAAAATTCCTTCCTCAGAGAACAGCAGGAACGCACAAAAGATGTTATCTTGAAATCTGTTGTGCACAAGATATTTATCCTGTTCAGACGACTCGTGAAGGATGATATCCTGCTCACATGAAAAATATCATCTCATGTTCACAAGATTAGTATGTTGTGCACAAATGAATGATCCTGTGAGCACGATATCAGTGTTCATGAGTCGTACCAACAGGATAAAAATCTTGTGCACAAAATTTTTCAATATTTATATTTGAAAGTTTCTTTATCTTGTGTGCATCACATCATTATCCTGTCAGCACTCTGCTCATCAAAGACAGATGTATGTCATGCGCAACAATCTGCACGACAATTCTCTCATGCATACAGGATCTTATCTTGTTCGTCATCTTGCTTACACAATATTATCCTGTTTGCACCAGATACTGACTCTGTGGAAGACGGTTATCATGTTTGAACCAGAGGAACTCACAGGACTGTTATCTTGTGCGCTGAAGTTTTGATCTTGTTCGCTCAGGATAACTGTATCACAGTATCTTGACTGTATCTCAGCCGCCGCACTGATGTCAGAGGAGGAAGTGACTCATGTCGGCGAGTTTCTGTTTCTATCGGCGCTTCAGATGTTTGTCAGCGGAGGAAAAGAGAAGCAGCTTCAGCCGCCGTTTACCAATATGACCTCAAAGAGCAGAGGATGATGGGTAATCCTGTGAGGCAGATGATAAACAAACACGATCGATACGTCTGAGTCAGCAGAAATGTTTTTACTGTCATCCGTGAAGTTCAGTCACATGACGTCCGTGTCAGCAGCGGCGAAGAGGCTGAAACGTGTCTGAACAGAGACGTCATTAGTTAACACACGTGTCAAACACACACACACACTCACACACACACACACACACACACACCTGCAGCCCAGGTTACAGAGCGTTTGTGTGTTTCTGTGTTAATTAATCAGAAATAAAGTGACTAATTATCCAAACGTGTTCTTCTTCTTCTTCCTCTCACCAACGTTCAGACTAAACCCTCGCCCTCCGCCGCTCGTCTCCCTCTGTCAGTGTCAGGGTGGATTATGGGAAAGATTCGAGGCGTCATGTCAGGGATTATCTCCAAACACTTTAGTCAATAACAGGAGAGTTCAGGTGAGCAGGGACGAGGATCAGAGCTGCAAATTAAATCAGATTAAAAATGAAAAATCAACATGGATAGAAACTCATTTAAGAGGATAAAGTTATAAATTACAGATTTTATCGTTTACTCAAATGGATAAAGTTTTAAATTAAAGAAGGAAAACAAAAAACAAGGATAGAGTCTTAAGACTTTGATATGTGTAAATAATTTGGTGCTGTAAATTTATTATTTTAAGTCTTATATTTTCTTTGCTCAATTAACTTTTTTTGTAAAAGAAAAAAGTATTTAAATTTATTTTATTTTTGTTTTATTTCATTTATATTATAATTAAATATTAAATATTAAATAAATATTTATTTATCTAAATTTGTCTTATTAATTTGTTTGGTCTTAATTAATTTAATTTTTTATTTATTTTTAAATTTTGTTTTATTTATTTGTTTTGTCTTAATTTTTTATTTATTTATTTATTTTTAAATTTTGTTTTATTTATTTATTTTGTCTTTATTAATTTAATTTTTAATTTTTAAATTCATGTACCCTAAACCCCAACCTTTGGTTTAACCCGGACACTGTCATTGAGGCGGAGCTTCAGTGGACTTGTACAGAAACACACAGATGTCAATCATCTAAATTACCCTAAAGTTAAAGAAGCGTTCCTGTATCTTTAACTTCATTAACACACTTAATTAAATCCCTCAGAGGTTCAGGTCTGAGGTTTTGACGTTGGCCCTCTTTGGTCCTGAACTCCTGTGGATCTGAAACTCAGTCTGAGATAAACACCGTAAAGGTTTTCCTACTTCAGTCTAATCGCTCTCGTTCCTTCCTCTGAAAACTCGCCGTCTGACAGCCCGTCATCTTGTCCGCCTGTTTCTCGGCTGCTGTACGTACTTGTCAGGACATCTTCCAGCTGCTAAAACCAGCATGTCCTCCAGCTCTGGCACTGGTCCCAGTATGTCAGAGCGGGGCCGGATGAAGAGAGCCGCTCCAGGCGCAGTGACACTGATACCGACAGCTGCCTCCCCTTTCAGCTCGCTGCTCCGAGCTCAAACCTGCAAAACCACCTTCCTGTAGATCGTCTGAAATTCACTTCAACTCCTCACATCCTCTCAGCGCACGCTTCAGGACGACAGCTCAACGTGGACGAGAGGATCTGCTGAAAAAATAAGTTTGAGACTTGGACTCATTTTAAGATTCACGGTCGATCTTTCTTCAGTACCTTTGCCTCGATAACATCAGGCGCTCAGAATCGTTCCCTCTCATGACTTTAATCTTACACTCCTGGTCGCCACTTTGACCGTCATTTTCCCAGTTGGGCGTCTCAGGCTTATTTTCCTCCATTTTTATTTAGATCAGAGCGCCGTACGCCATCGAGAAGTGAGCGACCCCCTCCTGACCTCTGAGCGTGTCGCTGTTTTGACCGAGAACACTCTGAGTATAAACCTTCTCATGCCGCCGTTTGGACCTCCTCAGGTGATCGTCGACGTATCGATCACCTGTCAGAACGATAGATTATTCTAGAAGTGAGTTTTCCTAAAATCAGGCTCAGAAAGGCCTGAAGGTCATGGTGCTCAGGGGCGGATTCAGGGTTTATCAGGGGGTGCCCTAGCCCCAGGGGTGGGTGCCTTTATATTAGATGACACCCACAAAATCCTAAACTATTATCACAGTCATTATCACCTGCGCTCGTCTTCGTCCTTTACTCCAGTGGTTCTCAACTGGTGGGTCCCGACCAAAACAGCACCCCCTGGTGACGGGCTGCACTATAGGTCATAAACCCCGCCTCCTTATGGAGCTGTGGACAAACTTTATAAATTGATACAGCCTGTGGGCGTACAGGGATAGCGTAGCTCACCGGGGGATTCGCTGTTTGAGCAGAGCGTCATCACAGCGACTCTCAGCGACTGGTTTTGTTGGTTTAAGGAAGTGAAGAAAAACCGCAAAATTACGAAGAACTTTTCGGCTTTAGATCCGTAAACTGGCGGAGGGCGGAACCGAGTTGTCCAGAGTAAATACAGTCTGTGGTCCCGACCCAAAAGTGAGTCGTGGACACGGTCTGGATGGGTCAGGAACAGCTGGTCAAAAATGTAAATATTTAACACGCATTTGATGTTTGACGTCTTTTATTTTGAAAAATAGCTTATTTTGAAAGGCACGTGTTATGTCGTGGTCCTCCGCGGTTTCTTAGTCTACGTTCAGACTGCAGGTTCTGATGTTTTAACATCTGTGACTCATATCTGATTTTACTAAGAAGAAAACTGAGGTGTTTTTTCCGACTCTTTATTTCCGACATATTTTAAAAACCATCGTCTCTGTTTTTACAGATCTTTAACTCGCCGCTGCAGCGACCCCTCAGCGCTCCCTCATGGTTTGATTACAAGGACAAAGAGGAAAAGCAGCTATCCCAGGGTCCCATCTTCTGTGTTAAGTGCAGGTCGAGCGAGGTTCATCAGCAGCTGATCATCTTACAGAGAGAGAGAGAAAGAGAGAGAGAGGCCCCCGGTGGAGCTCGGGCGACCACAGACTTGCCCACATGTTAAAAAGGAGGAGGCCCTTTAAAAGCTGATATAACTGAGTCTGTTAGCATCGCTACCATCGCCACGACGACTCTGAGAAAAACACCCAATGACCACAGAGTTGGACGCCGCAGTTTAGTTTTATTTTTCAGCTTTTATCCGCCGCAGCTTTCATAACCAGCAGCAGTGTTTCATCTGAGTGACTGCAGAGTAAAAATAATCAAATAAATCACCTGTCTCCTCCAGAGTGATTTTAAAACAGCTGATTTTTTTCCCCTTAAATCGTCGGGCGCTCATGTGAACATGTTGGCGTGTTTTATCCGCAGGTTTTGAAACGCAGATCCAGCCTGAATAGAGCTCGTATGAATTAATGGACGGCGTTCGTGGCTCTGCTGTCTGCACACGGACGATGGCGGAGTCGATTTTGACAGGCAATTAGGAACAAGACCAGCAGAAATATTTCTCAAACAAAAGCTCCTGATAGCTTAATGGTTGGTAAATCCAGGACTCCTGCAGGCCGGGGCCAGGTGGGCGGTTCGGGGAGGAAACAGGCCCGTCTGCGGGCAGAAACACACAGAAACACGGTGATGAAGGTGATTTTTACCTGAATGTGACTTTTATTTATGTGTCAGAGGAGTTTCAAAGCGTCGTATGAGGACTTTTAACCCCAAATTTACTGATTTTAAAGCACATTAAACTAATATTAGAGCGTAGAGTTCTCCTCAAGATTGTAGCCGACCAACTGATCAGATATCTTGATAGAAACCAGCTTCTTCAGCCTCAACAGTTTGGTACTGGGACCAGTTATTCAACAGAAACAGCATCATACGATCTTACAGGAATAATTAGATGAAGGTACCGTTGTTAGAGCGTCAGTTTTGGTCCTGAAAAGACCTGTGATCGTGTAACCTGTGACTAACTTCTAAACAAGTTCAAAAACCCAATTTAATAAAAAAACAGTACTGTGTTAGAATTTAAAGTTTCATATTGATACTGTTATCTTGGTGAACCACAAGGCTCCATTCCAGGACCACTCATGTTCCCCCTTTAACTCAATGAGCTGTTAGACATCTGTAGAGACGTCTGCTGATGATACAGTGACGGTCAAACTCCTCATAAATGGATAAAGAGTCTCTGAAGAAGTTTTAGCAGGTGACTCAGTCGTAAAAAACGTTTCTTAACCTCAAACTGTAAAAAAAAAAATGGTTTTAGTGAGTCCATGCAGAAGACAAAACAAAAAACAAAATAACAATTTTCGGATTGATATTGATGATAAAAAAACGAACAAGACCTCTACTTTTTTTCTAACAATTCAGAGATCAAAGGATTCATTCTGACTTACGTCTCAGAATTCCAATTGAAGTCAAGATTCCAACTTTTATCGTAAAATTCCAATTAAGTCAAGATTCTGACAAAAGTCAATATTCTCACTTTGATCTTAGAATTCCAATCAAAGGCAAGAATCCGACATTTAACTCAGAATTCTAATTGAAGTCAAGATCCTGACCTTGATTTCAGAATTGCAAACAAAGTATTCATTCCAAATTTAATCTCAGATTTCTAATTAAAGTCAAGATTCCGACTTTGATCCAAGAAGTCTGATTTATTTTGAGATTTAGGATTTTGTCTCATGACTTCACTCTGACTAAATTCCCATAAGAATATTATTTACTGCGGTTTGGATCATGTTTTTGAGTTTTTTTTACACACATTTAAATTTTCAGGAGTCTTGACCTTGACCGGTATCTTGCGCTACAAAACAGTAAAGCTAAAAGAAATGAGGCAGAACCTAAAATCCGGGTGACATTTTCATTTTGTGTTCACACGTGCAGCCCACCTCCAAAAATTGTTGGACTTTTCAGTTTCTGTGTAATATTTTCTGAACTAATTAAGACTGACCTTCGTTACAGAAACACTGATAACTACAGCAGAACGCTGATTCACCAATTTTTTGTAGAAATTACACGTGTCAGAGTGTCTACTGTCTGAGAAAGATGTGGCACAGTTTTTGGAAACTTTAGCACGTGTGTAAATACAGAAGTAAAAGGCTGATCATGAACCAGGTGGATAAGATAAACCGACAGAAGCAGCTGAACAGAAATCCTGGAGGAAAGAAAATCCGAGCGGTGGCATTAGGAGGTTCACAGTTTCATTTGTCAGCACTCAGCACACACAGTGATGATCCCAAATTGTTCCAAACCATAAAAATCAGACAGTCTGTGATCTGAGGAGACAAAGAGGACAGACAGTTTCAGAAATCATTGTTCCCGGTGTTTAGTATGATCACACACAAAAAGACTTGAGCTGTTAAGATCCACCATGAAGACTCGATCCTCTTAGAGATAAAAATGTAAATGTAAAGTTTGAAAAAGAGTCAAAGATTTCAGAGCATTTTCTTCAAGTTCAAAAAAAGGTCTCATGAACCAATCCCCATTCAAAAAACAAGCATTTTGAAACTAATTTTGAGGAGAAATCTGACAGAGCATGATTCAGACTTTTTAAACATCTGCATCAGATCAGCTCTTAGTAAATTTCAGGAGTGGAGAGGTTGCAGAATTAATGACATCAGGATAGAAAAAGCCTGAATTCCTTATTTTCACTTTATTTTCGTGTCTGTCTGCAGTCAACGCTTAAAACAGTCGTATTTTAAATGAAGTTTGGTGGGAGGATTTTTTAACACGCCGTCCAGATGTGAGGAGATACACAGCATTAAACGATGAAAAGTGACTTTAGTTTTTAATTTGCATGTTATACTAACAAAGTAGAGCCTCTGTGTGAATCACTTTTACACTGAAACTACGACTTCATAAGATTCATGAACACGTGTCGTTGGGAACCCATTAGTCACCAGTGAATTACAGGGAAATGAGTCTCTTTGTTGAGTCATCTCGGGAACTGTGAGCCTCTGTGTATGTTAGGATTTACAGTGAAACTGAGACTCGCTGACCTTGCTGCAGCGAGAACAGAGAAGTTGGCGGTTGCCCTCAGAGGCGTATACTCTCAGCAGAACGGTCCCACGGCGAGGAGCAGGCTGTTTGTTTTTCAGTCTGTACATTTTGTTTGAAGCCGGTTTCCCCGAGCCAACATTCGCTGGCACCTCGCTCACTCGCCGAGCACTAGTTAGCTTATATCTTAGCCTGTGCTTACTCCTTGCTTCTTTCCAAATATGGTCACTTCTGGCGCCAAAACCAAGATGGCGGCGGCCCAAATGACAAATCTGAGGCATCAAAGCTGCGGTCCATAAACAAACAGGTGACGTCACAGCCACCCACAGACCCACGGAGACCACGTCCACTCCTGATGAACAGTCTATGATCTGTTGGAGTGAAAACAGCCTCTCTGTTGTCATAAATCAGGACTCCTCGGTGTGTATCAGCGCTGTGTGCAGAGAAACCTGGAGTCTGGGCATCAGAGAGGACCGTGTGTGTGTGTGTGTGTGTGTGTGTGTGTGTGTGTGTGTGTGTGTGTCCCTCAGTGAAGATCCAGCAGCAGCCTGATCGGCACTCTGAGACGCCTCATGCCAAACAGATCAATGACGCTTCCTGTCTGGCCAGGCGGACGCTCCTTCTGGAGAACCGAGTCTTCCATCACAACATATTGAGGGCAACAAACCACCACCCATCATCCCCCCTCCCTCCTTCCCCAGTCCTCCTCCCCCGTCCTCCCCCACAGAGAGGCGGAAAAAAAGGGAAAGTGGTCTGCAGACAAAGGCTGGCAGGGAAAACGCGGCTGCTCGTCAGAAGATTTCGGCGGAGAATGGAGAAGTTCAGACGCAGCAACTGTCACCAGAACGTCCCGACAGAACCAGCTCGTCCAGAAAATCAGGACAAGTTTCTCAGAGCGAATGTTCCACAGGGATAAAATCAGACAAATTCAAGTTTCACAGATGCTCTCCCACCTTAGTTACATCAGCATCAGGATCGCTGCTGTCCACATCTGCAGACTCACACAAACATTTCACATTAAAGGTGATTTTTCTTTTTCATTAAATTCATTTTTTCACAATTTTTTCAAAGTATAAAAACTTTAAAAACATGTTGTTGTTGTTTTTTCTCTCTTTACAGATTCAGATAATCGTGTCACCTGATCCGTGATCCTGGACGTCTTGGATGGAAAAGTTAAAGACAAGAAATTAACGTTACAAAATTAGACATGAAAAAAAAACAACTTTAGTCTATACGTCAATATATTTACATTCAAAATGCAGTAAAATCGATCAATACAGCTTCATCTATTTCTTTATTTAACCTTTAAAGTACCAGGAATATTCACACCGGGATATTAAATCTCTTCTGTGAGAGAATCCAGGCCGAAAAGTTTTACACAAACAACAAGCAGCAAAAAATAACTACGGTGGCCCTAAAGGTCAAACCTTACATAGCTGCAAAAATTTGTACAAGTGTCAAAAACAATTCATAAAACGGAAAAAAAAACAATTAGCGATAATCAAGAATATATCATGAAATACAAACAAATATTTTATAAAATGCAAATGTTTAAAAAAAATGCAAAAATATTTCAGAGAAAGCAAAAAATCCCTGAAATCAACAACTTTCATTAAACATGTCCTGATATATAAATGTGTCAAAAAAACATTTGAGTTTAAACAGCATTTCACTGAAGTTTTAACATGTGCAAAATTATGTAACTTTTTTCTTAATGTTTTCTTTTTCTGACATTTTTGTTTCTTAGACTGTGAGATTAAAGTCAAAACTCAAAGATTACAGTCACATTTTTAGGTTAACAGTCAGGATAATGAAGTTACAGTGTCAGATTTTTGGGGACTTTAGTCAGAAATCTCAGAAATTTGACTTTGATCTAAAAATTGTAACTTTAATCTTGAAAAATTTGACTGTTGTCTGAGATTACAGTCAGAATTGTAAGATTAAAGACTGATATCTGGTGTTAAAATTCAAAGCTTTAAATCTGTATTCTTAGACTGAAACAAGAATTTTATGATGAAATATATATATATATATATATATATATATATATATATATATATATATATATATGTATATAAATATATATATATATTTGAAGTTTGATCCCTCACTAAGAAAAATATTTTACAAAATTAAAAAAGATAAATGAATAAATAGAAAAAAAAAGTGTTTTTTGTGAAATATTTTTGTGTTATATCAAGAGGGAGGAGTTTATGATTGGTGTTTGTAGAGATGTTACCTGTGCGTTTCCTGACCCAGGTCCGACTTTAGTCCTGGATGGAGGGTGGCTCTGTTCCTGTGGTTTGGTTTTGAGGTTCGAGTTGAAGACCAAGCAGGTGAGAATCAAAAGAATGTTTTATTTCTATCTCAGTCAGAATGAACTGTTCTGTCTCTGTTTGTGACCATTAACCTGTGTGAGTTCATGTGATACCGTCAGAGACAGAAAGCTGCTCTGACTGTGACCTGACCAATGTAAAGAATAATGACTGTGTTAATGTGAGCGTTTTAACATACATGTTCTGCACATTATGAACGGCTCCATTTATAAAGCTTTCACTCTGTAACAATTATTCTCCATTACTGTAAAGCAAACCCAACATGAAAAGAGTAAAAATAAAGGAATCGGTGTCATTATCTTTCATGACTTCCAGCACCTGCAAAGAAATACAGCAGAGACTGAAATAAAGTGAAACTACCACCCCGCGGGGCACCAACGGGCCGAGCCGTTTCACGCCGCCACCTCTGTGGACTGCCTCCCCAGCAGACGACTGCCCTGATGCACTGCCTGTCATCCCGCATGCATTGCTCTCCATGGAGGCCAGGGCAGTTGTGATGGCTGGTGCTTGTGATCGAAGTATGATTAAAATATAAAATATAATATAGAATAGTTTGATAAAGATGTCATAGTAAAGGATGATAAAAAAAATATAGTATGGAACAAAAAATGTATACTATATTATGTTCATCATTGTTAAGTATGAAAAAATATCAAAATATAGGATGTTGAATATCATAGTGTAGTATGTTAAAATTTCATACTAATGTATTATAAGAATGTCATAGTAAAGTATGTTAAAAAATCATAGTTAAATATGATAAAAATATCATAGCGTAGTACATTCAAATGTCATATAGTGTAATAAAAATAATGTAAAATAAATATTTCAGAGTAATGGTGGATAGAAATGCCATAATAAAGTATGATAAAAAATGTCATAGTAAAGTAGATTAAAAATGTCATAGTATAGTATGATAAAAATGTCATAGTATAGTATGATAAAATGTCATAGTATAGTATGTTAGAAATTTCATTATTTCAGTTTGAAAGAAATTGTCCTAGTATAATATGGTAAAAATGTCATAGTATTGTATGATAAAAATGTCATAGTATAGTATGTTAAAATTTCATATATCAGTTTTAAAAAAATGTCATAGTATAGCATGATAAAAAGTCATAGTATAGTACGATAAAAAATTCATATTTCAGTTTGAAAGAAAATGTCATGGTATAGTATGATAAAAAGTCATAGTATAGTATGTTAAAAATTTCATATTTCAGCTTGAACAAAAATGTTATAGTATAGTATAATAAAGAAAAAATCATTGTATAGTATGTTAAAAAAGTCATAGTATAGTATGATAAAAAGTCATAGTATAGTACGATAAAAATTCCATATTTCAGTTTGAAAGAAAACCTCATAGTATAGTATGATAGAAATGTCATAGTATAGTATGATAAGAATCTCATAGTATAGTATGTTAGAAATTTCATTATTTCAGTTTGAAAGAAAATGTCATAGTATAATATGATAAAAATGTCACAGTATAGTATGATAAAAATGTCATAGTATGTTAAAAATTTCATATTTCAGTTTTTTAAAAATGTCATAGTATAGTGTGATAAAAAGTCAAAGTATAGTACGATAGAAATTTCATATTTCAGTTTGAAAGAAAATGTCATAGTATAGTATGATAAAAATGTCATAGTATAGTATGTTAAAAAAAATCATTGCATAGTATGTTAAAAATAAGTATGTTAAAAATTTCATAGTATAGTATGTTAAAGATTTCATATTTCAGTATAAAAATTTTTATATTATAGTACGGTAAAAATGTTATAGTATAGTATGATAAAATGTCATAGTATAGTATGTTAGAAATTTCATTATTTAAGTTTGAAAGAAAATGTTATTGTATAATATGATAAAAATGTCAAAGTATTATATGATTAAAATGTCATAGTATAGTATGTTAAAAATTTCATATTTCAGTTTTTAAAAAATGTCATAGTATAGTATGATAAAAATGTCATAGTTTAGTATGTTAAAAATTTCATATTTAAGTTTTTTTTTTTAAATCATAGTATAGTATGATAAAAATGTCATAGTATAGTATGATAAAAAGTCATAGTATAGTAGGATAAAAATTTCATATTTCAGTTTGAAAGAAAATGTCATAGTATAGTATGATAATAATCTCATAGTATAGTATGATAAAAATCTCATAGTATAGTATGTTAGAAATTTCAGTATTTCAGTTTGAAAGAAAATGTCAGTATAATATGATAAAAATGTCACAGTATAGTATGATAAAAATGTCATAGTATAGTATGTTAAAAATTTCATATTTCAGTTTTAAAAAATTTCATAGTATAGTATGATAAAAAGTCATAGTATAGTACGATAAAAATGTCATATTTCAGTTTGAAAGAAAATGTCATAGTATAGTATGATAAAAATCTCATAGTATAGTATGTTAGAAATTTCATATTTCAGTTTTTAAAAAATGTCATAGTATAGTATGATAAAAAGTCATAGTATAGTACAATAAAAATTTCAGATTGAAAGAAAATGTCATAGTATAGTATGATAAAAATGTCATAGTATAGTATGGTAAAAATGTCGTATTATAGTATATTAAAAATTTCATTATATCAGCTTGAACAAAAATGTTATAGTATAGTATGATAAAAAAAAATCAATGTATAGTATGTTTAAAATGTCATGGCATAGTATGTTAAAGATTTCATAGTATAGTATGTTAAAGATTTCATATTTTAGTATAAAAAATTTTATAGTATAGTACGGTAAAAAATGTCATAGTATAGTATGTAAAAATTTCATATTTCAGTATAAAAAATGTTATAGTATAGTATGGTAAAAATTTCATTGTATAGTATGATAAAAATGTCATAGTATAGTATGTTAAAAATTTCATGTTTTAATTTGTTTTAAACATGTCATAGTATAGTATGATAAAAATGTCATAGTTTAGTATGTTAAAAATTTCATATTTAAGTTTTTTTTTAAATCATAGTATAGTATGATAAAAATGTCATAGTATAAGTATGATAAAAAGTCATAGTATAGTAGGATAAAAATTTCATATTTCAGTTTGAAAGAAAATGTCATAGTATAGTATGATAAAAATCTCATAGTATAGTATGATAAAAATCTCATAGTATAGTATGTTAGAAATTTCATTATTTCAGTTTGAAAGAAAATGACATAGTATAATATGATAAAAATGTCACAGTATAGTATGATAAAAATGTCATAGTATAGTATGTTAAAAATTTCATATTTCAGTTTTTGTAAAATGTCATAGTATAGTATGATAAAAAGTCATAGTATAGTACGATAAAAATTTCATATTTCAGTTTGAAAGAAAATGTCATAGTATAGTATGATAAAAATCTCATAGTATAGTATGATAAAAATCTAATAGTATAGTATGTTAGAAATTTCATTATTTCAGTTTGAAAGAAAATGTCATAGTATAATATGATAAAAATGTCACAGTATAGTATGATAAAAATGTCATAGTATAGTATGTTAAAAGTTTCATATTTCAGTTTTTAAAAAATGTCATAGTATAGTATGATAAAAAGTCATAGTATAGTACGATAAAAATTTCATATTTCAGTTTGAAAGAAAATGTCATAGTATAGTATGATCAAAATCTCAAAGTATAGTAGGATAAAAATTTCATATTTCAGTTTTTAAAAAATGTCATAGTATAGTATGATAAAAAGTCATAGTATAGTACGATAAAAATTTCATATTTCAGACTGAAAGAAAATGTCATAGTATAGTATGATAAAAATGTCATAGTATAGTACTGTAAAAATGTCGTAGTATAGTATATTAAAAATTTCATTATTTCAGCTTGAACAAAAATGTTTTAGTATAGTATGATAAAAAATATCAATGTATAGTATGTTTAAAATGTCATGGCATAGTATGTTAAAGATTTCATAGTATAGTATGTTAAAGATTTCATATTTCAGTATAAAAAATTTTATAGTATAGTACGGTAAAAAATGCCATAGTATAGTATGTTAAAAATTTCATATTTCAGTATAAAAAATGTTATAGTATAGTATGGTAAAAATTTCATTGTATAGTATGATAAAAAAAAATGTCATAGTATAGTATGTTAAAAATTTCATGTTTTAATTTTTTTTTTAACATGTCATAGTATAGTATGATAAAAATGTCATAGTTTAGTATGTTAAAAATTTCATATTTAAGTTTTTTTTAAAAATCATAGAATAGTATGATAAAAATGTCATAGTATAGTATGATAAAAAGTCATAGTATAGTAGGATAAAAATTTCATATTTCAGTTTGAAAGAAAATGTCATAGTATAGTATGATAAAAATCTCATAGTATAGTATGTTAAAAATTTCATATTTCAGTTTTTAAAAAATGTCATAGTATAGTATGATAAAAAGTCATAGTATAGTACGATAAAAATTTCATATTTCAGTTTGAAAGAAAATGTCATAGTATAGTATGATAAAAATGTCATAGTATAGTATGTTAAAAATTTCATATTTCAGTTTTTAAAAAATGTCATAGTATAGTATGATAAAAAGTCATAGTATAGTACGATAAAAAATTCATATTTCAGATTGAAAGAAAATGTCATAGTATAGTATGATAAAAATGTCATAGTATAGTATGGTAAAAATGTCATAGTATAGTATGTTAAAAATTTCATATTTCAGTCTTTAAAAACTGTCATAGTATAGTATGATAAAAATGTCATAGTATAGTATGATAAAAATCTCATAGTATAGTATGTTAAAAATTTCATATTTCAGTTTTTAAAAAATGTCATAGTATAGTATGATAAAAAGTCATAGTATAGTACGATAAAAATTTCATATTTCAGATTGAAAGAAAATGTCATAGTATAGTATGATAAAAATGTCATAGTATAGTATGGTAAAAATGTCATAGTATAGTATGTTAAAAATTTCATATTTCAGTTTTTAAAAACTGTCATAGTATAGTATGATAAAAATGTCATAGTATAGTATGATCAAAATGTCAGTATACTATGTTAAAAATTTCATATTCCAGTTTTTCAAAAATGCCATAATATAGTATGATAAAAAGTCATAGTATAGTACGATAAAAATTTTATATTTCAGATTGAAAGAAAATGTCATAGTATAGTATGATAAAAATGTCATAGTATAGTATGGTAAAAATGTCGTAGTATAGTATGATAAAAAAGTCATAGTATAGTACGATAAAAATTTCATATTTCAGTTTGAAAGAAAATGTCAAAGTATAGTATGATAAAAATGTCATAGTATAGTATGTTAAATATTTCATATTTCAGTTTTTGTAAAATGTCATAGTATAGAATGATAAAAAGTCATAGTATAGTACGATAAAAATTTCATATTTCAGATTGAAAGAAAATGTCATAGTATAGTATAAAAAAATGTCATAGTATAGTATGATAAATATTTCATAGTATAGTATGTGTAAGATATCATCATATTTCAGTATAAAAAATTTTATAGTATAGTATGGTAAAAATTTCATATTTCCGTTTTTTAAAAATGTCATAGTATAGTATGATAAAAATGTCATAGTTAAGTATGATAAAGGTCATAGTATAGTATGTTAAAAATTTCATATTTCAGTTTTTAAAAAAAATGTCATAGTATAGTATGATAAAAATGTCATAGTATAGTATGTTAAAAATTTCATATTTCAGTTTTTAAAAAAAATGTCATAGTATAGTATGATAAAAATGTCATAGTATAGTATGATAAAAAATCTCATAGTATAGAATGTTTAAAATTATACGTTTCAATATGAAAAATGGCATAGTATAGTATGCTTAAGAAGTCAGAGTAAAGTATGATAAATAAATCCATAGTATAGTATGATAAAAATGTCATAGTATAGCATGATAAAAAATGTGATTGATGAGTATGTTAAAAATTATATGTTTCCATATGAAAAAAGTCATAGTATAGTCTGATAGAAATGTCAAAGTATAGTATGTAAAAAAAATCATATTTCAGTTTAAAAAACATTTTATAGTATAGTATGATAAAAATGTCATAGTATAGTATGTTAAAAATTTCATAGTATAGTATGTTAAAAATTCCATATTTCAGTTTGAACAAAAATGTCATAGTATAGTATGTTAAAAATTGTGTTTTGATATGAACATAATGTCATAGTATAGTATGATAAAAATGTCATAGTTTAGCTTGTAAAAAATTGCATATTTCAGTTAGAAAAGAAAAAGGTCCTAGTATACCAGTTTAAAAATGCCATAGTGTAGTATGTTAAAAAAATATTTATATTCTAGTTTTTAAAAAGTCATAGTATAGTATGATGTTACAGCTGTGGGTGTGGGTGTGTCCTGGTTCTTCTGCTGTGTGTCTCTCTCTGGTAGGTTCCTCCCCAGGTGTCTCAGGTCAACCTGCTTGGTGTGATGAGTGGGGGCAGATATAAGAAGGCACAGTTGAGCTGACTCTCTCTCTCTCAGCCCTCGTGATCGTCACTCGTGCTGCAGACCTCATGATTTGTTGACTGTGTGTCAATCTTGTACATTTTGGTTCTCTTGAAGTCCAGGTTTTCCGGTGGCAGGAGCCTGTGGTGTTTTTTTTTTTTTGTTTGTTTGCTTGAATAGTTGGCAGTGGATATTGGTTTTTTAATAACTTATTAGTTATTATTAGTTGTTTGAGCTTTTAGAATTATTTTTGACTGTAAATAAACTACTCGCTTATTCTGATTTCCTGTTTCCTACACTTCATTTCGTCTCCCCTGCCTGGTTTAATTTATTGTTACTCCCCATCCTTCCCCTAACCATTCTTCAGGGTCGTAACATATGATAAAAATGTCATGGTATAGTATGAAAGAAATGTCATAGTAAAGTATGTTAAAAAATTCATATTTAAAATTTTCATATATAAGTTATTTAAGTTTTTCACATATTTTTTCTTGAATATTGTGAATTAATTTTAGAAAGTGAAGTGTCCATACAGCCCTAAAGCAGTTCAGTGGTTAAATTTGAATCTTTTTCCTCATAAAAATAAAAAAAATGTGTAAAATTCTTGTGTGTCTTTATTTGTGTGTGTGTGCGTTGTTTAATGTAGCGTGTACTCGGCCATGTTGGTCACAGGACACACACTGAGCCCTGCTTATCTAAAAATACACACTTCAACACACCAGGCCCTGTTTAGACGAACAGTCTGCAAACACAAGCACAACACAGAGACACAGATACAGGCTCCACACACACACACACATATACACACACACACACAGATTCATTCACCTCATTATATTTGCTGTTGGTTTGTGTGTCACATCGAGCGGCTGATCCTCCATCTGACTTTGAATGTTGGAAAACTCGGCGAGGGTTTAGAGCTAATCTGGTGCTGATTCTGGGTCAGATTATAAACTCCACAAAAATACGACAGATTAGAGTTTTTGGTTTTTTCCATCATGGAAACACTCTGTACTTCTATATTTGATGTTGTTTTAAAGCCTGAAAATCTGTTATTTTAAACTTCTATATCCACAAATATGACATGGTAACTCACTAATATATATTTTTTTGTTTTTCTTCGACACTGAAAAAGGTCTCGGAGATAAAGACTCGTAAAAACAGATCTTTGCCAAAGCTAAACTAGCAGGACTAAAGAGCTAATACTTCCATTTGGTTAATCAAGTATTTTCTCACTGTTTGCTAATTGTTCAGATTAGCAGCCAAAGAATTCGGTTCATCTACTTTAAGCGGCTTAAACAGTTAGATTAAACCTCCACAGGTTGGCAGATTATCAGTTTGGTTACACTTTTAAAAATATCCCGGATTAACGGCTAAAAGTTTGGTGCTATCGTCGAGGCTCAGCAGCTGACGGAGTGTAACAGGAAGTTTGGTAAAACGTTAGCCAACAGCTCCGATTAGCAGACAGTTCGGTTCTCTTCGGGGTCGTTTCGGGTTAAGCAGCTGAACTTTGAGTAAGTTAGCGGCAAATTCGCTGAGCTAATTGTGTGCTAGCTGGAGTCTTAAGAGTTTGCCTAACACGTTAGCGCAGATAATCTGAAAATACCTTTGGTTCTGTTTGTTTCAGTACTTCAAATTGTGGTATCTGAGCAGCTCAACTTAATTCCTGTAAAATAACGTCTTTATCGTTGATAGTTGGAGTGATGTACGGAAGAGCACAAAAACGCTGAAGCTTCTACACGGGGCTCATATTTCTCCTTCCCAACGCCATAAATTGAACCCTCATCTCACTAAATCTCACTCAGGCTTTATTGAACACCTCTGAATGTCTCGAGTTATCCCATCTAATCATTTAATGTACAAAACCAACTCCAGTGAAGTTTGGAAACTGTGATAAACGTAAATAAAAACAGAATACAATGATTTGTAAATCCTTTTCAATCTATATTCAATTGAATACACTACAAAGACAAGATATTTAATGTTCAAACTCATAAACTTTATTTTTTATTTTTTGCAAATAATTATTAACTCAGAATCTGATGGCTTCAACACGTGACAAAGAAGCTGGAAAAGGTGCGAAAAATCCTGATAAATTTGAGGAATGCTCATCAAACACCTGTTTGGACCGTCCCACAGGTGAGCAGGTTAATAGGGAACAGGTGGGTGTCATGATTGGGTATAAAAGCAGCTTCCCCAAAAACTCTCAGTCATTCACAAGCAAGGATGGGGCAAGGTTCACCACTTTGTGAACAACTGCGTGAGCAAATAGTCAAACAGTTGAAGAACAACGTTTCTCAAAGTACAATTACAAAGGATTTATGGATTTCAACATCTACGGTCCAAAATATCATCAAAAGGTTCAGAGAATCTGGAGAAATCACTGAACATAAGCGGCACGGCAGGAAACTTACATCGAACGCCCGTGACCTTCGATCCCTCAGGCGGCGCTGTATCAAAAAACGACATCAGTGTGTTTAAAGTATATCAGCACATGGGCTCAGGAACACTTCAGAAAACCACCGTCAGTAAATTCAGTTCGTCTCTACGTCTGTAAGTTAAAACTCTAAAGACATTTATCAACAACATCCAGAAACGCCGCCGCCTGTGGTCTGATGAGTCCACATTTCTGAGATGGACTGATGCAAAGTGTAAAAGTGTTCTGAGGTCTGACGAGTCAAAGAACCATCCGGACTGTTATCGACGCGGAGTTCAAAAGCGTCTGTGATGGTATGGGGGTGCATTAGTGCCCGAGGCGTGGGTAACTTACACATCTGTGAAGGCAACATTCATGCTGAAGGTACATACAGGTTTGGGAGCAACAGATGCTGCCATCCAAACAAACGTCTTTTTCACGGACGCCGTTCCTGCTTATTTCAGCGAGACAACGCCACATTCTGCACGTGTTACAACAGCGTGGCTTCGTAGTCAAAGAGTGCGGGTACTGGACTGACCTGCCTGCAGTCCAGACCTGTCTCCACTGAAAATGTGTGGAGCATTATGAAGAGTAAAACACGACAACGGAGACCCCGGACTGTTGAAGAACTGAAGCTGAACATCACAAACGTTCACTGAGTTTGTTAAAAGGTGATGGAACACAGAGGTAAACATGAACCTGTCCAACTACTGTGGAGCGAGTTGAAATTCTGAGTGAATTATTATTTGAGTTTGAACATTAAATATCTTTATAGTTTATTCAATTGAATAAAGGTCGAAAAGGATTTACAGATCATTATATTCTGTTTTTATTTACGTTTATCACAGTTTCCAACTTCAGTGGAGTTGGTTTTATTAATGAAGTGAATGAAGTCAAGTTCCTCGACATTATCTTGGACAAAAACTTGAAGTTTGATCGTCAGGTTTAAGTACATCTGCAACAAGGTTCGACCAAATCTAAACTGCTGTCACATAAAGTCGTTATCTTACGACTTTATTCTTGTTACAAAATAATTTATACGTCTAACACTTCGCCTAATTAGCCAACTTTGGTTCAGGTCAGTTTGAACGACCAAGAGGAGAGCTGGAAATCCTCGGGTCAAAGGTCAAGTTTAAGTCCGTTTAAAAAAACAAACACTGTTCAGATGTTGTGTGAACTCACTCTGCTGCAGATCTTCAGGACCAGATCAAGTTTCCACACATCAGAGGAGGAGGAGCTTCACAGCTTCAAAAACAGAAAACTGATTTAAAAAGAAAAAGACAAAAATTCAGATTTAAAGCAGCTCCAGAAATACATTTAAGATGTTTGTTTTATGAAGATTAATTTTACTCACAGCGATGACGCTCCCAGTCGACCCTCAGGTGGAGTTAGCTCTTCGTTACGTTGACAGGAACCCAGTCAGAAGTTTAAAAACATCTTAACCTTTAGTTTTAAAAACCGTCTCATGTGTTTTAAAGAGTTTGAAACTTTCAGTGTTTTAACTTCTAAAAGTGTTTTTTTTTCTGAGTCTCTCTGACCGCTCTCTGATCAGACATATGATCGCTGTTAGCAGATAAAGAGAAGCGCTCGCCGCTGATTCGTCCCCGCCGACGCTCCATTGACGGCGAGCAGCCGAGCACGCACGGATCAGCGGGCTTTTTAAAACAACAAAACCAAAGATCACACCGGGTTTAAGAAAATATTATTACGGGCGGTAATTGGCAGGACTGAACGGGGGCGAGAGGCGGGGTCAGAACGGGCGGGGGGGGGGAGCGGGGGGGAGGCGAAGACAAGTAAGGAAGTGAGGAAGGAGGAAGGACGGGGGGGCAAATTGAAACGACACCACTTTGCACTTTGACAATCGGATTTGGTGAGTTTGTTTAACCCGACAGGCCCTCACCGAGCCGCCTGCTTTTACACACTCATTAAAACGATTATTCACGACCCGTCGACCGTTTTCTTGCTCGTTCACATGAACCCCCCCCCCCCGACCACCAGCCACCCCTCCTAAAACTAACATTCACACACACACACACACACACACACACTCTCCACATTATGCTGCGACTTCACACTGACCAGCAGTGGAAGGAAAACTCTTCCTGTGGAAAACGTCCTGCAGTCACACCTGACCTCAGAGACGACGTAAAACTTCATTAAAGTCGTTTAAACTCAAGTTTTCTTCTTTATTTCTGTGTCTGCAGCTCAATAGTTTCAAGAGTTTCACGTTTTCTTCTGTATTCGAGTAAAAAAGTGAATTCAGATGAGATATAAATACATAAACGCAGTACAAGTACTTCACTGTCTCTACAGTACTTCTGTATTTCTAATGTTACAAACAGCAGGTGGAGTTCAAACAAACAAGCTGTCAACCATCTTTAAAGACTGTGCTGTGATGCATTCTGGGAGTTGTAGTGTCCAGCTCTTTTTTTCAAACAGGAAGTGGGCGGCCGTCTTTTCAAAAGTTTGAAACTGGTGTCGTGATTGAAAAACGTGAAACTATCAACAGGATCGAGACGAGGATCAGGACCAGAAATAACAGGACGAAACGCTTTCAGTGGGATATTTTTATTTGTCGATAGGGGAAGGACCCGCCTCCTTCGCCTCTGATTGGCTTGAAAAGCTGGAAACGTCGTCACACGCTCAAGCCAAACACGGGCTGTCGGCTCTGAACATCGAACAGGAAATTATCGCAATTCTGACTCTCCTAACCCGACAGACGATGGTGTTTCACAGTCATAAGGAATAACCAATCAGAGCTCAGCACTTATAGCCAATCAGAAGCGAAAGAGGGCGGGACCTTCCCTTATGATCCTACAAAAAAAATTTGCTTTCAGTCGTGTTTTCATGCCTGCCTAAATCTGATTGGTTACAGGTCTGTCCAGTCACTTCCTGACACACCCACTGAGGTGAACTGTTGAAAAAAGTCGTAAAAGGCCGTATTAAGAAAGTCGTACATTAATAAATATATATATACCGTCAGAGGTTAGCCTGTTTGTTATTTTGACTGTTATGCTAATTTCAACAATAAAAATTATGAGGATAAATCAGATTTATGGCCTGATAAAACTCCTTACTGGAGCTTTAAGTGAGAATCACAGTATTTCAGTCTCTCTTTAGCACCCCCTGTGGTGATGAGCGGTAACTGCAGGTGTGTTTTATGCCTTTTTTTAGCTTTTGTCACTTACGATCACTGATTCAGCATAAATAAGAAAACAGATTAAATTTAATTATAATTTATATAATTAAATAATTTAATCCTTCAGATTTTTATAGTTTTGATCCGTTTCATCGAAAGTCTTCAGATTCTCCTCAAACTAAGACTGAAGTTCATGTCTGGACCGGTTCATGGATTTCTACTGTCCAGACTTGAGCGTCATGTGACCCCCCCGGCGGTCAGGACTCAGTCTGGGTCTGAGGTCCAGTGCCTTGCTCATGAACACTTTGAACAGACAGTTTATATAAACGTCATTTTCTGAATGAACGTTAACTGACCACACTGAAGTCTGAGCTCCTGCTGCTCCGTCTGTGTGTGTGTGTGTGTGTGTGTGTGTGTGTGTGTGCGTGCGCAGCGGTCAAACTGCTGCAGGAACCCCGGACCTCATCTGGACCAATCAAATCCAGATTAGCTGTTTAAAGCAGAAAGAAAACCCGAACAGCCGACATTCCCCATTTTAATCGTGGTTGATCGACAGCCAGCCCGACGAGGCTGAAGAAAATAATGGAGACTTTACACACACACACACACACACACACACACACACACACACACACACACACAGAAAGAGAAAGGGAGAGTCGATGTACACTAATCCTAATTATTTTCGGTATTTATATCCCGCTCTTTGGCCTTAAATCAGACTTTTTTCCACTCTGAGGTCACATGTCTGCAGCAGGTTTGACTGACCGCTATACCACTGCTTTTAACGCCACGAAAAACTGCTGCTAACATAAACCGACAAACTCTATAACTACTGCTCAAAGAACTCTAAAAAAACTGCTTCAACACTGACAGAAAAACTTTGATTGTGGTTTGATAAAACTCTTTAAACTCCTCCGTCTCTGATCTTACATATTTACCCCTGAATCCGGATTATATTCACCTGGAAACGTCGAACCAAACCAGGAGGGTTTTGACTTCATCAGAGGAGGAGACCTTTGACCTCGAGCTCAAATTCACAAATCAAACTGTTTCGGTCATTTTGGCTTCACTTTAAACTCCAGCTCTGAATCATTAACGTCATTCTGCACAAACACACAGTCATGCATTCATTCTTCTTCACGTATATATTTGACAGTTTTCACAAACGCATCTCAGTCAGAAACATTTCTCATTATTTTTACAGATTCTTCTTTGACATTAAACCTGCAGGACTTCAGGAAGAAGATGAAGATCAGTTTGTTTGCAGCTTTATTCGTCAGCTCTTCTCGTCTTTAATTTCGTCTCCGTTTACAGATCAGGTGTCGCAGGATTCTGAGCTCTGCAGGATCTGGTTCATCAACACAAAAACATTTCTGATTACTGTTCAGAAGTTCATACACATATGTGACTGATTCATGGAAAAATGATCCATAATGTTGAAACACATGCAGGTAGAGATCATGTGACCCGACTGAACGAAGTAAACGAAGTCAGTGTCACACAAACTGACACTCTCACCTGAGTGTCTCTTTGTTCTCAGGCCTCAAATATTTGACTTCTTCATCTGATCAATAACTCAAAGTGAAATAAAGCAGCAGCTCGTCTGTGACGGTCTCCTGATCTGGTTTTTGGTGATCCGCCTGAAAAAAGTGCAGAGTCAGGAGTCTGAAGAACCTCGGGGACGTTTGTGGAGCTGTGAGTGACGCTGAGTTTTTACAGGATTCCTTTAGAGACGTGAGATCGTGTGGATGACGGTCAGATCTCAGCCTGCAGGTGTAGAAGTGTGAGAGCAGGTGTGTTTAACTTTAACTGCAGATCAAAACAAACAGACAGAAAAGAAAAGGTTGTATTAACCCGGTGCTCTCTGCAGCTTCATGGACTAAAATATTCTCTTGTGTTTATTTGATTTGATCTATTTTCTTCCCGTCAGACGTGGACATTAAAGTGATCTCTGTAAAATCAGGAGACATGACAGAAATCCCTCTGATATGTACGTTAACAGCTAAACTGTGAACTCGCAATGCATTTATTTTCAAGTATGGAGCCTGAATATCGACGCTGAACGCAGCTGCACATTCAACTGAAGCTTGTTTGAAATCGGCCTTTAACTGCAAACAAAACTCAGAATATATATGTATTTTTATAAACAATAGATACAATATTTTAATGAAAGTGCATAAAATCTAAAATAAGTGTACCAGGGAAAATAAGAAAACCTTTGAAACAAACATGATCGTTTATCTTGTTAAAAGTGAAGAAAATGAGGCTGAAATGAAGATTTGGAGTAAGTGAGGGAGGTTTTACATAAATTAATGTTTTAATTATTTTTTCAGCTCCTTAAAATTTTTATTTTGGGATCAGATTTATTTTAATCCTGTAATTTTTTTTCATACCGGAAGTGATTGGATCTGTAATTCTCAGACTTTATGTCGATTATTATTATTATTATTATTATTATTATTATTATTATTATTATGGTGACGTAGACGGTGATGTCCTCGCGCTCACCTGCACACACCTGTGTGTGTGTTTAAGGTGAGTTAAAGCTGAGGGTTCAAACCCACCTATGTGTCTGTGGGTATTTTCGCCCTTTTTTTCTGACTGTCAGGCTTTATCAGGCAACAGGTGAGGTGCACCTGCAGGTAAAAACTGAGGGCTGGAAAAGCTATGTCTGAAGTTTGTCTGAAATCAAACACTTTTAAACGATTTTCTTTATATTTCAGATCGAAAACTACAGATTTATTCTTCTTTTATTTATTTCTTTCAAAATCAATTGTCTCTTTTTTCTGTGGGAGTAAATGAAAATCTGTTTTTATCCGTTTTTATGTGTTTTTTTACTCTTTTGTAATATTGACATCGTTTAAAGAGAGGGAGACCTCGGCCTGTTTAGGAGGAAGAGGATAAAATCAGTTTCTGTGAGGATTCAGGCAGAAAAATGAGCCAAACCTCAGAGTTTACAGTGAAAGTGTTAAATGACAGAGACTCGAAATAGAAAAGGATTGAATTCTCTCCGGTGATCTGAGCTCAGGGCTGAGGGCTGCTGCTGCTGCAGAGTCTCCGGGGGAAACGGAGCCTTCCTTCCCGAGAAACCCCCCCGGGACCCGGACAGACCCGGACAGAAACGACCAGAAAGGATCGGAGAGGATCAGAGAGGAGTCATTTTCATCCGAGCGGTTTTCTGACGGAAGAAAAAGGTCCGAGAAGACAAAAAAAAAGAGAGAAAGTGAAGGAGGGAAGAGTCTGCGCCGCCGCTGCTGCTGAGGCCTGTTTTACTCTGTCTGCTTCTCCACGATCATTTTTAACGAATTTATCTTTATTTTTTTAACCTCATTTCAAATAAATAAATAAGTAAATCAGTAAAAATAAATAAAATAAAATAAGGAGCAGAGTCAGAGGAGTTCACCGTTTATCTGAGGAGGTAAATTTAAAAAATAACGGCTGCGCTGGGCGGGAAGCACGTGCTCTACGCTCACGTCACGCACCTCCTTTGAAGTCGCAGGTGTGTCACTGTGTGTGTGGTGACGTGATGTTTCGGTCATAGAGGTGGGCTCAGGAAAAAAATCAAAACAACCGGGAACGTAACAACAGCGTGTGTGTGTGTGTGTGTGTGTGTGTGTGTGTGTGTGTGTGTGTGTGTGTGTGTGTGTGCGCGCGCGCTGATCATTTTACATCCGGATTATTTACTAAAACTGTTTGTCCTTCAAAATAAAAGCTCGTCACGTCAAATCTGCGTTTCTGCTGACCCTGTATTTTTTATATTTATTTTAAAAAATGATTTTTAGTCTTTAATTTTAAGTCTAATTTTATTATCTTAACCGTATTTTTCTGTATTTTTATTGATGACGTTTTTCTTTAAATTAAATTAGACAAAAAATATCCGTCATATTTTAAAACACAGGGTGAGATTTTTACTAAAACAGCAAACAGAGAGTAAGTAAACCTGACGTTTATGTTTTAAACAAAACTGAAAAAATCTTTGGACGTTAACAATTAAAAGAAATAATAAGGAGATAAAAATTAATCAGCATTTTTTAGATCGTGACTCAGCTCGTTTCTCCGTGTAAAGTAAATATCATGACTCAGATGTTGCTGCTTCATGTGTACGGATAAAAATTGAGATTTTTAATTTTACATTTAATATTTCCGTGCTGCAGTTTAACAGTTTTGTATTTATATTTTTACAGTCTAATTAAAACCCGTATAGTTTTAGGACTGCCCTTCAAATTAAAAGCGTTTCTGATTTATTCAAGTTTTTATCGTCCAAACAGAGAGTTTGATCTGAATATGTTCAAATTAAAGTCAAAATAATTGATTTGTTGTGATATTCTGGTTTGGACATTTTAAAAATCAGAGGATGAAAATAAAAAAGGTGTAAATACCAGTTTCTAACAGACTCATTTTTACTGTTTTATTTTGGAGCAAAAACAGGCAGTAACCGTTTAATCCTCTTACAGTGTTGTGATCCCTGTGATGTGAATACTGCATTTAATGTATTCGTTTTCATATTTTAAGTGATTTTCTGCAGAAGAATAATACAGTTAAAATAAATAAATCTCCAGACTCAGGAGAAATAAAAAAAGGACTTTTAAAATCTGCAAAAAAAAACGTGTGTCCGTTTAGATGTGATTAAAAATATAAAATTATAAAAAGGGGAGTTTTTCTGTCTTATCTGACGTTAAACATAATAAATATAATGTGATTTAATTTCATACAGACTGTAGATACAGACAGAAATGATCATCTGTACAGACTCTCATGTATTTCATTTTTTAATCTTCTCACAGGCGTCTCTTCAGACTATGTGAAGCTGAATTTTCTTTTTTTTATCATCTTATTATAGAAAAAAAAAAAAGAAAACCTTGAAGCGTTGAGTCCTGATGATCTAAACCAATCAGAGGAAGGCGTCAGCGCTCAGATCGCTCAGACTCTTCCTCACATTTCCTCTCCGTCTGAATCATTATCTTCTGCTTTGGTCCAGGAAGTAGTCTGATCCACCGCTCTGGACCAAAGCAGAACCACACAGGCGTGACCGGGTTCAGTCAGCCGACCTTTAACCCCGAGGATTTAACCCTCCACGCCCTCAAACAGCCAATCACAGCAGCCGCCTGGAGCTCCACATCTGAACCAGTCTGACCCGCACAGAGGGATTAACAGACCAGTAAACAGCCAGTAAAACAGACAGAGAATAAGCCGGTGCACAGCCAGGAAACCAGCAATTAAACCGACCAGATAACCAGTGACGAAACCAGCCAGGAAACCAACCAATCAGACGCTTAGAAAATAACCTCCTTTAATCTGAATTATTTTGATTTTAAACCCGACGCCTTTCTGACCAAATTCAGCTCATTTAGAGTCAATTCTCCAGTTTAGAGAAGCTCAAAGTTTCCTCTTTGTTTTTACTAAAAAACAGAAAATAAGTCAGTCTGATCGAGACAAAAATTAAGACAGAAAAAAGAGTTCATTTTCATTTAAATAAAACAACAATTTCTCCTTAAAACCGACTTCAAAATGTTTATCTGTGAACAAAGTGAAGCTGCTTCAGGTCTGAAAAATACCAACAAGTTTAAAAAAAACTGTAAAATTACTGCGGAAATCATGTGAAAGTCTCAAAATTAAATATTAATGTATTTTAAAAAGCCTTTTAAACACCAACATCTAAACTCTCTCTATCTTTGCCTCTGATAAAATACGATAAAAATTATTATTATTATAAACTTGACTGTCCGACTCGACCACAGGATCATCAGACAACTAATAATTACAACCGATGTTTACGTCTGGAGTTCAGTGGCGGCCTCCAGTGGCCAGAGTAGGTACACCAGGATTTAAAGGGGCGGTCATAAAAAGTAAGATTTTAAAAATTGAAGGAAATTCTACACAGGGAGGAAACTGAGAAGATCGTAGAAATCACGACTTCTAGACGAGAATTTGATGTTAGCGAGTTTAAATGAAATTAACGGAAACATTTATGAAATTGACAGTTATTAGCTAGGTGTCACATCCCAAACGTCAAGGAGCAAATCTCATGTTTTTATGATCAATTAATCAGCCTCGATCCTTGATACTGAATTTAAACTCTGCCGATAAATATCACGACCACTAGAGGTCGACACGTAACAATAACAAAGGTGCTTCGTAGTTTCATAACTATTTCATCTGTTTTTAATGTTTTGTTTTAATGATCTTAAATCTACATATTACATATTTTAACCCCAAATAAAAAAATATTTTGGACAAATTTAAACTGATTAAACTCTGACATACAACAAAAATGACCTCTAATTCACATTTTACTAAAACCGACCAATCACGGTGCTTCTATCCAAAGACGTGTCAGAGAGCCTCTAAACACACATTTAAAAACAGAAATCAAAACCAGAGCAGCAGGTCGAGATATCCCACAATTGTTGTCTGAAAACACTAAATCCTACATTTCCCAGAATGCATCTTTCTGAGGACGCTTGTTGAATGAGTTAAAAAAAAAAAGAACAACAACTTTGCACGTCAAATAGACGGATTTTTCCTTTAAAGTTACAGCCAGCAGCTTTAATCTGATTTTAAATGAGTCACAAAAGAACGACCAGCAAACAAGTCAGTAAACATGTCAATAAATAAGTCAGTAAATAAGTCAGTAAACGGGTCAAAAAACAGTCAGTAAATAATTAGAGATCAGTCAGTAAACTCCCAAACTGAGTCTCATAATCAGCTTTGATCTAAAGAGCTTCAAAGAGAAAAAATTAATCTGAAAACTTTCGAAATTGTTTCTTAATCCAAGAAAATCTTTTTTTGTTTCATGTCAGAGAAATCTTGAATTAGTGTTAATTACTGTAATTACTGTAATATTTTCCACAGGAACATAAAAAAATATTTTCCCTTTCAGCCACATTTTACTTCTTTACACCTTTATTATGATCTGTTTGAGCTCATGTGAAATTTCTCTTGAGTAAATTTTCCTGTTTTATTTTGTGTTTAAACAGATTTATTTAAACTTGATTATTTATTTATATATATTATTATTTATTTACATTTTTATTCAAATCTGTTTCACATTGAAGTCTGTCAGTGAGATTTGACCTCTAAGATGTTTATTTACCGCTGAATGTCCTTAAATATCTTTATTATTTACTATTATTATTATTATTATTATTATTATTATTTAAAACACAGCAGACACACACGGATGACGTCACACTGCACCGCGGTCATGTGACCGACCCAAACAGCCTCAGAATCACTGTCAGTCTGCGAAATCCTGAAGGGACTTTAAAATTAAACCTGCGACAGATGCATGTTTTTTTTCCAAATTTACAATTTTTATTATCTAAAATTGTTTTGAATCCATTTATTTTTTTATGTCACTTTGAAAAAGTTTTTAAAAACTGTAAATATTCACGATCATTTGGATTGATCATGTAGCTTAAAGAAAACTTGGACTTTGATTTAAATTTTTATTTAAATTAACTCTTTAAAGTCGGTTTAATGTTAAAATTGTCACATTTTTGATCTCCTGAATCTTCAACATGAGGCAGAAAAATCTCTCAGACTAGATTAAAAACATCACTGAGACATTAAACAGTAAACTAAAACTGCAAAAATCTTCATCAGGATACTTTTAAATTATCTTTTAACACCTTAAAACAAAAAAAGACTAAATATTATCACATTATATTTAATTCATTTTCTGCTGTTTAATCAGTGAAACGCCTGAAGAGATTTACTGCTCTGATTTCCTCCTGCGGTTTAAACTCTTTTACTCGACGTCTTTTAACTTTATTAAAGTTTTTAAACTTTGTTCACTTTATTTTTTCTCGGTATAAAAACGACGTGAACATGAAGTCGAAGGTTGAGAGCGTATTTTGATGTTGATGGGCGAGTTTTGGATGTGGGTGGAGGGTAAATAAAGTGAGTTTTAAGTAAAAGATCTGAGTACTTAAAGAAAGAGAGAAGGAAAGGCTATCTCCTCTTCCTCCCCCCTCCTCCCCCTCGTCCTTCTGTTGCTTCTTTTGTCTTTTGACTGCTGGTCACCCCATTTAACATGGGCCTGATAGCATCAGCCTGACACAGATTGGGTTCCCCGGCAGCTCCATTGTTGGGGGGTGAGGAGGGGTTGATGGGGGTGGGGGTTCTTGCGTTACAGTCGGACTCGTTTAACTCACGGCCCTCTTTTAGGAAACGAACAAATTGCTGCTGAAAGTCGGTCTTTGTTGTCCCTGCGGCCGATCTCAGAGCAGTTTGGAGCGCCGATCTGAGGTCAGCTGATCGGAAGCTCACGCTGATCGGATCTGTGCATCGTTTACTTTAGTCTGACATCTTTAAATCTCAGTTTATTTTCTGTTTTAAAGAGTTCTGTTTCCTCTAAAGGTCCATGACGTGAATTTACAATGATTTTAACTCTGAACTTAACGACAAAACCTGGTCTAAGGACACGACTTCAGGTCTGACTGTTTCTGACACTTTGGATCCAAAATAAAACTGAGTCCATCATTTCTACAGTCATTTATATTTATTCTCACGGCTAAGTGGAGACCTCTAGTGGCTGCAGTGATTACGACAGGAGTAGACAAGGTAGTGTTGTAGCGCAGAGAAACTATTTTAAAACAATTTAACTCATTTTATCTTCTGCATAAATTAACTTACAATAAAAATGATTTAACAAGTTTCACATTTTAGCCTCTGTTTGCAAAAATTCATCGTTCACAGTTTTTTATTGATAGTTTGGTGGAGACCTCTAGTGGCTGGAATTATTACTACAACAGGAGTGAGTTTGGTGTCGTAGCGTCTACAGCGAAAAGTCGAATTTTCAGAAATCTTAGCGTAAAGTCTTCGATCAGCTGGTTTACTGGAGCTCAAGGTTTTAAATTTTATTTTTGCTTTACTGTGAGACTTTAAAAAACTATTTTAAATCATTTTAATTATTTTATCTTCTGCATAAATAAACTCACAATAAAACGAAACAAAACTAACGTAACAAGTTTCACATTTTAGTCTCTGTTCGCAAAAAAATCGGCATCAACGTTCGCAGTTTTTTATGGATAGTTTGGTGGAGACCTCTAGTGGCCGGAATTATTATTACAACAGGAGTGAGTTTGGTGTCGTAGCGTCTGCAGCGAAAAGTCGAATTTTCAGAAATCTTAGCGTAAAGTCTTCGATCAGCCGGTTTACTGGAGCTCATGGATGTTTTTGATTCAGTGATCCAGATTTCAGTTTAAACCAGTTTGGACTTTTTTTTTTTTTTGAGTCGTTTCGACTGTCGGATGATTTTATTTTTGATTTTACAGAAAAAGGTCAGAAGATGAAGTTTGTTTTTGGAGCTGGTCTGAGTCCACAGACACAATCACACTCTCAGTGTTTACACTGAACTATTTTTAACAACGAGTCTCAACAAGCTGCCAAAAAAAACAAAACAAGGTTTCAGTGTTTTGTCCTGATAAAACTGGAGTTTGATTTTCAAACATACGGACGTCAGTTCAGTTTCCAAGACAGATTCACGAGAATCTCAGAGAGAGTTTAGACTTTTTGAATCTTATTATCTTAAATATTTTAGACCGAGTGTGTTTGAGTTTTTCTGGACCCTGAAGAGACTTAAAGTCAAAGTTTTAAAGCAGACTGAGGAACTCAAAAGATTTTAAAGTCTTTAAATTTAAAGAAAGATTTTGGAGCTTCATGAGAAAATAAAAAACATTTCAGCTGATTTTAGTTTTTATTCTCCTCACCAAAAATATGAACGGGTCAGTTTTGACCTCGCAGAGTTTCTGCTCTTTAGGCCGGTCTGGATTCCTGGATCAGGTTTGGAAGTCCTTGAAAACCCTGACCTGGAACCCTGGAGCAGACAGGTTTGGTTTTGGAAGTTTGTCTGGTCCGATAAATCCTCTAATGTGGTTAAAAAACCTCACAAACAGAAACACTGAGAGGATCAGAGGACCCTGAACGCCTCACAGAGACTCACAGCCACCGAACCCGAACCTGAACCTGCAACCGTTTCCTCTACAGCAGAGCCCCAGAGCATGATGGGAAACCGAGCCTCACACACACAGACACACAAAAAGCGTCTCAGACCCGAAATCACCGATGAGGGTCGACCATTTCTGCAGATTTAAGAAAATAAAAGACAAGGCGCCGCCAACGCCGCCGCT